AGCATATTGCCCCCAACAATCTGGGTCCTCATTTTACCCACCTCGGAAGGATGGAAGGCTGAGTCAACCCTGAGCCGGTGGGATTTGAACCGCTGAACTGCTGATCTAGCAGTAGCCTGCAGTGCTGCATTTAACCACTGCGCCACCTTGGCTGCACCCCTAAAGGAATGGCACCCTATTCCTGTAGTTAAGAAAAGGTTGAGAGCAAATCACAGTGCTGATGATGCTCATGTGAAAGTGAAAAAAAGGGGCAATTGAGGACGCCAATAAAACTGCAATTTGGCAATACCTTAAATAGGTTTTATTGTTTTGTGTTAAGTATTTAATATTTTCATTAATATTTTAAAAGTCTTGTAATCTTTTGATATATGATATCTTTTTTAGACTTAAAACTGTCATAAGGGCAAAGAAGTGATGTCGGTCGAGTTGGCCATGCCTACCCGATCACATGACCACCTAGCCACGCCCACCAAGCCACGCCAACGCCCAAAGCCACGCCCACAGAACTGGTTGCCAAAAATTTTGAATCCCACCCTGCTTGCCGTTAGTTGAATTCCTAAATATTTAACTTTCTTGACTATCTGTCTACATATTTTCCTTGTTAGTTCTTTTTTCTGTGTGGCTCCTTACAGTGTGTCTGTAACATTTTTAACTATTATTTTGTTTTTTTCTTAGTTTATTTTTCAGTCCTGGAACTTCACCATATTCTTCTATTTTCCTAATTAATTTAGGAATTGCGTGTGTAGGAGCTAGGAGGTCTCTGAGCGAGTGCTGGGCAAACAGGCAGTGGATGACCTCGCTTTCCAGTCGCTGGTGAGTGGCAGCTCTGGGTCTTGCGGCTTTTGGGGGGGGGGGGGGTTCTTAAAAAAACACCTCTCCAGGCAAGCTTGAAAACCTCCGAGGTTGCTTTGGGAGGGGGAAGACGGGCATTTCTTCCCCCTCTCCGGACGCTTGCAGCCTTGGAGCAGCTCTGGCTGCTTGCACAGTAAAGAAAATCTCACGAGGGAAAGTTTTTAATTGCCTTTACTTTGCAAGGGCCAGAACTTGCTGCAGGATCCGAGGTTGCAGGCACCTGGGAAAGGAGGGGGAATGCTGCCTGTCTGCCTGCCCCCTCCAGGAGCAACCTCAGAAGCTTTTAAGCTCATCTGGAGAGCAGTTGTTTTTTTAAGAAAACCCCCCAAAATCCGCAAGATCCAGAGCTGCCAGTCTCTGGTAAGATCCGCATCTCGTGGCCCGCCTCTGCCCTACCTGCCATGCCCAAATTGCATCCCACTGCAAGCGTCTGTCAGCCATTGTGTACAGGGAAAAACCTTGCCCGGAAAAGAAAAACTTCCCAGATTCGAGAAGCTGTTAATTGCCTTGCAGTCACGAGGTTTTCTTTACTGTGCAAGGTTTTTCCCTGCACAGAACAGCTCATTGACTCTAAATAATACAGAAGCTTATTGCTTCATCTTCTCATTATCTGATCTCTTACCTCTGCATGCCCGCCAGGTGTCAAGGTCTTGCTGCAACGCTCACATTTCAAACAGAATTTGTGCCAATCTTTTCCCAAGGAAGATACTTTTTCAGCTGTACAAAAAAAAAAGGAGAATCAGAACTCTACAGACCAGATTCTCAACTTTTACATCTTTCAAGACTCACTTGAAAGGACTAAAAATTATTGAAGATTCACAAAATGTAAATGGAAACAGAATCACATAGATTTGTTGTAATCTGAGTTTTATGAACACTTTAGAAAGCCTCTCCCTCAGTAAACATATACTAACAATTTAAATAATCAAACAAATTGCTTGCCTTTTCATGACCTCACAATCAGCTGCCTGAGGTAACTACTTAATTCTGCTTCACAGTATCACCATCACTTCATTATATACCATATTTTTCACACTATAAGACGCACCAGATGATAAAATGAACACTAGCTTCAGAGGAGGAAAACAAGAAAAAAATCTGCCTCTGCCTCCCAGCATCCATCCGGTATTCATCTGGCTACTGTCCTTGCAGCAAACAGCAAAGTGCCTGGTCAGCTTCAGCACGTTAGTGCAGTGCCAACATGTGGCTTATCAGGACTCTGCTCCGTTCTCCCCACAACCTGTTAACTGAGCTGAGCTGCTGCCGCTGCCAGGGAACAGCTGATTGGCAGTTGGATCAGCCTCCCAGAATACCGCCGACCAGCTGTTCTAGGTGGTGGGGATTGCCACCGCCTATCACCATTACCGACCACTGCCACCACCATTTGGGGCAGCGATTGGTGGCAGCAGTGATCGGCAGTTGCAATTGGTGGCGATTGACAGCCGTGATCTCCACCACTTAAAACAGCTGATCAGTGGCATTTCAGGAGGCTGATCAGTTGATCAGCAGTGAAGGCTCCCGCATTCCCCACTGGCGGCAAACGGCAGCAGAGTGACAGGTGGCGGCGAATGGTGTCGCCACACCAACCCGCCTTCCCCTACTGCAATATTCACTCAATAAGATGCACAGACATTTCCACCCACTTTTTTGGGTGTAAAAAGTGCATCTTATAATGTGAAAAATACAGTAAGTTTTTTATTTTAATCATGGCACTAGTGGATTTCTTTTTTTCCCCCAAAATTTTAATTTTTTATAAAAATGTCAAATCAATGTGTCTACAGTGTGGCACCTGGGTGCCATACATTCCAGTACAAACAAAACTAATCAAATTAAACATTATTATATATTCAATCAACTTCTAAAATACCTATAACAATACACATCTATATTTGGTTACAGTCTATCATTATTCAATTATTCCACCTATTTCTCATTATTACTTTCATTTTATCAAATAGAAATGTAATACATTGATATTCCCTTTATTTCTATCTCTTACTTTTACTTTTAATCATATCATCCTATATTAAAAAGTGTCTACAGCCCTGCCTCACGGGCCTTTGACCTTGGTGCTGCCCGTCCACCACAGAGAAAGGCTCCAGTTCTTTTTAAATTTTATTAAATGATGTTCATTATATTCAGCTGGAAGTCTCTGTTGTGACTCCTGATGAATATTGCACTGTAGTCAGTTTGATTTTAAGGTTCATTAAACTAAATGCAAAACCTGACAAGTTGCAGTTCTTGATGTTATTAGCCATGCTCACAGAGTTCTCTAGTTCCAGAGTAAACAGTTGCATGTTTGACTGTTTCAAAATGTCTGCTTTTTAAAAACAAAAATTGAAGGCACTCCAGTGCTGAAACCATTTGCATTAACTTGCAGCTATTACAGAAATTACATGGCTAATAACATC